ATCATTTGAATATGTAGATCGTTATTTCTTCACACGTTTACATCCATTTCACAAAATGGTTGTGATGTTAATTCTTACTAACTTTATATGAAAAAACACAAGCATCAACCTGTTTGTTTAAGATTTATATTCTGGGATCTATTAACTCTTAAACAGTAAACAGTGACATTTACTGTCAGAGATCAAACTAACACAATAATACATGGTCTAAACTTTATTAGACCCTGTTTGTCTACTTAAGTAAAAGTGCCAATATCTTTAAAATACTCCATTACAAGTAAAAGTTCTGCATATTAAAATAAAATATCTGCTATAGAAAGAGTACAGTATCAGAAAAATTTACTTAAAATACCAAAAGTAGAAGTACTGTCTCTGCAGTAAGACTGATGTTATTATACAAGAGACAGCGAAGAGAATCAAGGTCAAGTTAGAGGCACAGCGTCCTTGGGCCTTGCAATGTGTGTCTTTGAGCCTACCGGGAGTTGTGAGATTTTTGAACTTGTACTTTTGCCCTTTTTGTTGCTTTTAGTGCCAAATTTCCTGATTTACATTCACCTGTTCTGTCTTAGGCATTTTAAATATTTAGGGCAAAGGGCAAATGTTGAGGCAGTATTACATGAGGATTTTGTAGGAATGTGGCAAAAGGTGCATGGCACATGTCATATTAGATTATTAATACTGACACATAAATGTGTAAGCAGAATGTTACTGCCGTAGTGGCTCGAGGTGCAGCTAGATGGTTAACTCATTTTATATACAGTATGCAGAGAGTGGGAGTTAAGTCACACACGTGCAAGTCACAAGCAGATCCCAAATTACTGGTGGTCAGAATCAAGCACAAGTCGAGTCCCTGCTGTAAGTCAAACACAAAACTGTTGCAGCTGCTTAACCTTACAAATCTTGGCGTTGCGTTGCTCAGTTGGATGAGCATCCGCCCCATGTGTAGAGGTACAGTCCTCGCTGGCAGTTGGCCCCGGTTCAGGTCCCGCACATCGGACAGCCCTTAGCTGCATGTCATTCCCCCTCTCTCTGCCTCCCCATTTCCTGTCCTCTCTCTACTGCACTGTCAATAAAGGCACGAAAAGCCCAAAAAAAAACCTTATAAATCTTACGATATTTTAAATTTTGTGGTCGTGAATAATATCTGGATGTCTGACTGCAAGCCACCCATTTCTACCATTATTATTATTAGTTTTCTTCTTATTATTACCTCCACTAAGGAGTTTATGTTTGGATTCTAGGAATTTTTTCTTTTTTAATGTGTTGGAGCTTTTGGCTTTGGCGTGGGTACGCGCCTTCTTGTCAACATTATACTATATCTCTAGGTGCGAACTTGCAATTGTGCTCTCTTTTCTTTCCTCCAGCAACCCAAATTTTAGTAATTCTTGGATTTAGCCCCTCCCATAAATAGCTGCCTTGTGTGCTTTGGTCTACTGTGTCCTAGTAGGTTGCCAGGTTTGTGGCTTTGCACCAGAAATCCCCAATCTGTTTCAAAAACAAAATGTAAGTTCTCAATATGTAGAAAAATGCAAACAGGGTGTAGCACAAAACTCTGGGCCTATACAAAAGCGGTCTCTGTGGGCGCCCTTCCTCTCTTGATCCATGTATCTCACGCATCTTTAAAAAATATTTTAACAAATAATTGGGCAAACAATTTGGTAAATTCCCATGGATCTGTAATGGTTATTAGGCTAGTCACTAATGAACTGTTGAACCTCTAATTGAGAGGTGGGAAGAACACATCACAATTGACTTGCCCCACTTTGCTTGAACTGGTTTCTGCAGTAAATGTCATGTTTTTTCAATGGCAGACACCTTTTGTTAGTTTTGTTTTTGGACCCATCAGTATAATACAAAGAACTGGTACTGTTATATATATCAGCTGTTGAGGGCTGACTATGTTACACTTTCTTTAAGTCCCTGAAGTCATCACAATTGAAAACATCAAGGTATGATTGATATTTAGTCTTTTGATTTTGTTAATTAATTATTTAATTAAGGCTTACATTGCTTACATATTAATATTTTAAGCATTTCCTCTAAAAAAATGAAATATTTAATATTTTTCTTAGGAATTGATACAAAAAAGGGAATCAAACATAAAATGTATAATATATTGATACACTCATACATGTAAAAATAGACATTTATATATGTGATATACAACAACAAATATTACAAATAAGTTTTACCTTGAACCCGACCGAATGTATTATTGAGCTTTTTGCTTTGTCCTTTTCACAGTTTTCTCAATAAACCTGATTATGTAACTAGTGAACTAAAAGCCATGCGGACAATGGGTTCCAACTCTTATAAGCATTTACAACAAAGTGCTGAGTTTCATCAAATAAAACTGCAACAAACATCAAAAGAAGGTGTTGACTGCAGTTCAAAGGAAAACTTCATTTGTAATATTTGTTGTTGTATATCACATATATTAAATGTCTATTTTTACATGTATAAGTGTATCAGTATATTTACATTTTATGTTTGATTCCCTTTCTCTTTTTAATATCAATTCCTAAGAGTCTAGAAAAATATTAAATATTTTCATTTTTTTAGAGGAAATGCTTAAAATAATAATATGTAAGCAATGTAAGCCCTTAATTAAATAATTAAATTAACAAAATCAAAGACTGAAATACAATCATACCTTGATGTTTCTCAATTGTGATGACTTCAGGGACTTAAAGAAGTGTAACATGCAGCCCTCAACAGCTGAATATATACATATACAGTACCAGTTCTTTGTATATACTGATGGGTGGAGACTTGAGCAAAAGGTCTGGGTGTGTGTGTGTGTGTGTGTGTGTGTGTGTGTGTGTGTGTGTGTGTGTGTGTGTGTGTGTGTGTGTGTGTGTGTGTGCGTGTGTGTAATCAGATTCGCAGTAAAAAGTCAATCATAAACAGCTAGATATCATTATCCTGAACCCCTTCAGTGTGGCGTAAATATCGTCATAACTGAAGTCACACCTTAAGGAACACACTGTGCAATGCTACACCTACTGTATATTAGTGTTATATTAGTTTATCCTAGGGGTGACTACACTGTAAAAAGGTTTTTACTGCAGAAACCAGTTCAAGCAAAGGTGGGGCAAGTCAACTTGATGTGTTCTTCCCACCTCTCAAGTTAGAGGTGGAGGACTGGATTTTGAAAAGTGCTCGATAAATAAAGATTATTATTATATTATAATAATGACTCCAACAGCATCATGTAGTAATACATTATATATTCACTTCCTTTATATGTAATTTTTGTTTAATTATTTGTTACCTATGTAAACATGCTGGATATTAAATTTACATGTGATATATTTCCCTATTAGATGCCAGGGAGCTGGGATGGATTATAGTCTTAACTGTTCTGAGGTCAGAGTTTGACATTGTCTTAGTACTGTTTTGTCCTTATCTTCATTTCCACAGTCTTTCATTTAAGTATTTATTGGCATATAAATTACATATAACATTTATACATATAATTCAAACTTATGTGTGTACTTTAAAAATAAATTACTTTCCCTTTAAGCCACAGTATCTTAATTCCAGCTTGTTACAGATAGTAAACACAAAATGAGGACATGATAAATGGGTAGAGTGTTTTATTGCAGCCAACGACAGCCTGGTACCTGACCTTAAAAATCCTTTCACATGCACAGTAACCACAACCCCAGCTGAACCTCATCCTATCTCCTCCCAGATCTGCAGGTCCAAAGAGCACCAGGGGGAGGAAAGAAAGTGCAGTGCACATTTTGACACTTGGGGGCAGTGCAGCAAACTGTAAATACATTGTCACTATATAAAGTTGCTATAGTACCCAGACCAACATTAGCATTCATTTTAAGTTGAGGTCTCTACCAACGTTCTTTAGCTTCTAAATTCTCCACTATGTAACTATAACTTAATCTGTCAGGTGTTTGGTGCTGAGCAGATAGTGTTCAGCTGCCTTCTGCTGGGAATGAGGTTGATGAGAGAAGCATATTGTAAAGTTTAGGGCTGTACAACCAAAACAGTGAGCTGAAAGTTACTAAAATGCTCCATACAACTGAGGGGAACTGTGGACTTGGGTGATAAATCTCTGTGGGTTCATCTCGAGTCATATTTCTCACATAAACATAATCATTTTTTCAGTTGTTTCTCAAAATCTGTTGATTAGTGCAGTGTTAGCCACAATCATAAACTACATAGGTGGGTCATGTTTGGTTGACACCCATGTACCAAGAATCTGCCAGCCTGAAGTGAAGTGAAGCGCTTGTTACTTTGAAGCAGAGCTTTTAGTCAGAGGAATGAATTTTATTTTATTTTCTAAAAGTGTGATAGACGATACGCTGTGTTGATCACA